TGCTTTCCAAATAAATAAATAAATACACATTTTAAAATTACTTGTGTATATATATATATATACACACACCCTACCAAATTTTACCAAATCAAATTTTGGAATAATTAAGATTTTTTTTCATGTTTTTGAAATAAATCTTTTTTGCTCACCAATATTAATAGATACAACTTTTGATTTTAATAATGTGTTAGTAAATGTTGGAATCAACATTAACTAAGATTAGTAAATGTAAAAAGGTATTTATCATTGTTAGTTAATGTACTTAACTAATGTTAACAAATGGAACCTTACTGTAAAGTGTTACCAAAAGTTCTGTTAAATTGTAATAGTATTTCACAATGTTCCTGTTATTACTCTATTTTTCATCAAATAAATGCAGTCTTTGTGAGCAAAGAGACTTTCAGAAACATAAAACATTCCTAAATATTCCAAATTTTTTGACCGGTAGTGTGTATAAATATAGATACTGAGGCCAACTGCATAAACATAGACACTATGTTAAAATTCTGTCTTAAGAACTAGTTTGACCACCTAGCAGTTAGCCAAGAGTTACTCAGTCTCACTTTTCTGATTAAAACTGGGCCAATCTGCGTTTTTGTTACTGACTTTAAACAGTTATGACCAGTCTAGAAAACAAATTAGATGGCTAACTTTTTAAGACCTAAGCAGTTTATGCAACCGGCCCCTGATGATGATGTCATACTGAAAACATTTAGTCACTGCATGGGCACGGTTGTATTTCTATGGCCTCTGAAGAAAGACTTTGTTTTTTTTCTCAAAGGACATTGCAGGTTTTTGTACTTTTTTTACTATGAAAAAAGATTACATATAAACATCCTTAAAAAGAGGTAAGACTCTTAAAAGATTTGTTTTTAGAGGATATATCTTGAATTATTTTTTTCCCTTGTTTTAAAAACAAAATTGTCTCTCAAATGTATTAAACTTATGCTTAAACAGCCAATAACCAACAGGGTTCTTAAAAAAAAAAAAAAAAGTGATATCCTCTGAAAACAATTTTTACAGAATATATCTTGCATTATTTATTTTTTTCCTTAAGGTTATTTTTTCTTACAGGAATACATGATAAATAGCTGCTTTTTTTCCAGATAAGAGCCTATAGACATTTTAGAAAATAAGACCTCTCTAATTTCTCTTTCTTGACATTATTGGCTTTCTCTATATCCATCTTTCTAACACCTTGTCCTCTGTGTCCACTAATCAGACAGATCTCATTGGGACCGATGAGTCAAAGACTGATTGGTTTTTTGGGCTATGTTTAGCTCTTTGCTTTCAGAGAGTTTACATGCACAGCCTTTGTTACCAGACTACACAGTACACGTGGATTCAGTCAACCTCTGATCTTGTGTTTTCACAGCATCTTCCAGGATGTTCTCCCAATATAAAATCATCTTTTTTTTTAAAGTGACGTGACATGTGGCCAAGTATGGTGACCCATACTCGGAATTAGTGCTCTGCATTTAACCCATCCAAAGTGCACACACACAGCAGTGAACACACACACACCATGAACACACACCCGAAGCAGTGGGCAGCCATTTATGCTGCGGCGCCCGGGGAGCAGTTGGGGGTTCGGTGCCTTGCTCAAGGGCACCTCAGTCGTGGTATTGAAGGTGGAAGAGAGCGCTGTACATTCACTCCCCCCACCTACAATCCCTGCCGGTACGAGACTCGAACCTGCAACCTTTGGGGATACGAGTCCGACTCTCTAACCATTAGGCCACGACTTCCCCCATCTTGTTGATGAACTGCCTGCTACTCCTGACTGTGATGTTTCCTGCGGTCCAGTCACATCGGGGCGGGGGCTTTGGCCGTGGGGGAGGCCGAGGTGGAGGATGGGGCGGAAGCAGCTCTGGTCGCACGGGAGGGGAGGAGGCGGTGGACATTACCGTGCCCCACCAGTCCATACTGGAGGCTCCTTGGGACACAGTGCTGGGAAGGTAGCAGGGGCGGCCGCCGCCGGAGCTCTAGGGGGAATGCTGGTCGGACACGGCTTGAGCTCCATGGCCCGACCTGGATATGGGTACGGGCATGGGTATGGAGGATATGGAGGCTACGGTGCGGGGTATGGGCATGGCCACGGGTACGGCCACGGACATGGACATGGACATGGGCATGGGCACGGACACGAAGGACATGGTGGTGAGCATTCAGGAGATCATGTTCACAACGAGACAGATGTGGATTATTACACAGATGCTGCCAGTTCTGGACCTATTTATAGCTGCGTGACAGTTTTTGGACTCGTGATGTCATTCTTACTTGGGTACATTCTGTCATAAAGGACACTTTGGCACTTGGCATGGGTCAGTCTTGGGCACCTTCTTGCATCTGTCACTTCTTTCGATACAAAAATAATCGAACAAAATAAAAAATGTGTGACAGACGCAGCATTAAAACATGGGAGTAAAATGTAAAGCAATTAAACCACTATCAAGGATTTCATTACACCTGAGGCCTCTGTGCATGATCTCTGCCAAAGTTTTGTGTTAAATTGACAGCAGAAAATAAGGTTACATTTGCTTGATTGGCGTTTTGAGCAAGTTCTGTTTCCAATGTTTCCTCAGTGTTTGTTTTTTTAGCTCTGAAGCGAGCGTTATGATGAGCATATGCAAGAGTTATGATGAGCATATGCCTGAGTCAGAAGCCTGTCATTTTTTTTTCCCAGATTGATGGTTTTTATAAATGATGTAGATTTTTTTCATGATTTAATTAATCTGAATAATGGAATTTTGTATCATTTAAAATATATGATGAATAGCATGTAGTTTATCATCTAAAGAGATTTGCAGAGCATCATGTATGTGTGTGTGTGTGTATATATATACAGTGGGTACGGAAAGTATTCAGACCCCCTTAAATCTGAATACTTTCCGTACCCACTGTATATATACTGTATATGTTGAATGTTATTAATAAAAGCAAGCAAAACATGATTATAAACTGAAGTGACCTCTTTGAGACCTTTGATTTCTGTAGGTCTTTAATAAGGAAAAGCAGGATTGTTCACATTAGCCTGTAGATATGTGAATGAAAGGGGAAGGAGAGTTGAAGGAGAGTGGAGATTCCAGTACTACAGCAGTGCTCATGAATAAATATGAGTAGATATGAATATGCATTAGAACATTAAATCAGCAGGCAATGATGAGATTTGGCAATATATGAGTGTGTGTTTGCACCTTGAGTCAAACGGAGCGGGACATCAATGACGAGAAGAACAGAAAGCGCGAAGATGATGCTGACAGTCAAATGGGAAAGAAAAACAAACATTTGGCATGCTCACAGTTCTCCTTCCCAACTGATGTGAGACAAAGAAGTTATTCAAATGACCATGAACAAAAGTCTTTTACATCTTATTTTAGTTTATACAGTGTTGCATACTGCCATTTACGTCAGCGAACATTCAAAATAAAACAAGGCTTATGGCAAAATCACATTAAACCATAATAAGCTTGACGAAGTGTGTCGAGTCCAGGGCAAATCTTGTTAAAGGGCTCGGGCGCTCTCTACCTCACTTCCCCGAGCTCTTTAACAAGCAGCTGATTGTCTTAAGCCAAAACGATTCCATTGCTTTCGCTTGTACACCTTCTTAGATCTGTTTATCAGTATGTATGTTTATTTTTGTACTGCTAATATGAAATAAATATACTTCCTAAAATACTTGACGTTTTGTCATTTTTAATTCTGTGTGAGTGATAATGTGGGTAAATGTGGTTTGATTTAGTCAGAAATCCTAGATAACTGGGATTGTGACTGTATTAAATGAACTATTACTTTGGTCCTAAAAATAGACAGCATTTTCTGATGTGGACTTGATATTGACAGCCTTTTGGAGTTTTACATGCAAAATAACCCTAACAAAGAGCATCAGCAGGCAATGATGAGATTTGGCAATATATGAGTGTGTGTTTGCACCTTGAGTCAAACGGAGCGGGACATCAATGACGAGAAGAACAGTAAGCGTAAAGAAGATGCTGAAAGTCAAATGGGAAAGAAAAACAAACATTTGGCATGCTCACAGTTCTTCTCAACCGACGTGAGACAAAGTAGTTATTCAAATGACCATGAACAAAAGTCTTTTACATCTTATTTTAGTTTATACAGTGTTGCATAAAAAGCAGCAGGATATACAGAAGCTCTCGCTGCCATACTTAGTCTCTCCATCTTTCCCTTTAAAACACACACATATTCTCTGACACTCACAAAAACAGTCTTTGCCTAAATCACTCGCCAGTGTGTGTTGTTCAGCATATCCCAGGGTTGTGCTGTGCTATTGTGTTTGTAAGTTGTTTAAATCTGTAGTGTGTGTTTGTGTTTTATGCGTTTGTTGACTAGGTTGTTTGTGATATGTTGATGATTTGAGCATCTGTATCCATGTTTGTGTGTTTTCACAGTCATGAAGATTTCTGCATATACTGCATTGGTTTTAATACGTCTATATTTATATACTATCTGTTTTAAGACGCCATTTGTCAGTCTTAAACAGTTCTGTCTGCACCTGAGCGTTTGCGAACCACCTGCTCCCCATTGACCTGGTCCACCGCGAGGGTCTCCACTTCCGCCTGTTGTCGGGCTGCACCTCCACCTGCTGAGGGCGAACGGTGGATCCGATGCGCCACTCCTATATGCACGTTAGCACGGGCATGGGGTCCCTCCTGCGCTGGGCTATTCCTGGGACCCGGGGGCACTGGGGTGTGGGTGGGGCTTAATGGTCCAGGGGGTGTGGCTGAAGAAGAAATGGGCGGGATTACAGAGGGGCGTTCCCGCAGCACCGGCTGAGACTCTACGGGGGCCGCGGGCTCTCTGGCTTTTAGGAATGGTGTGGGATCTGGCATGGCATCTACCGAATCCCTCAGTACCACCCTGCGGCCGTCTGCGGCGCCCAACCGGTACAGCTCCGTGTATTCAGAGTGCAGCGGCTGCGAAAGACTTTTGCGCATGCGCCTGCGAGGGGTCTCGGGTTGCCGGACGTCTTTGTCGTTTCCCGACGCAGCAGGAACGGGAGGAGGGGTGGGTTTCAAAGAGCTGACGGGGCTGACGGAGGGGCTTATACTCGCCGCGCCCCCGGCGAGAAGGCGTTTTTTGGTAGCGTGGAGCTGGGAGGTGAGGTAGGCAATGGTGCTGGCTCTCTGCTCCAGCTCTCCAGACAGCACAGCCAACTTATGGCTCTTCAACTTTAGTTCATCCAGGTACTTCTTCTCTCGCTCACGGATGGTGTTCTCCAACACCGAGATCATGGCGTTCTTCTGCTCCAGATCTCGCAGGAGCTCCGTGTTTTCCTGCTCTTTAGCCTTCAGCTGAGACTCCAGCTCCTCACAGCGCTGATGCAGCTCTCTGCAGCGAGCCTCACCATCATCTGAGAGAGAACAAGACGTAAGATACAAACATTTAAAAAGGATGCTACGCACAAATATACACTCTATTTCAGGGCTCTTCAACTCCAATCCTGGAGGGCCAGTGTTCTGCTGAGTTTAGCTCTAACCCAAACCAAACACATCTGAATGAGCTAATAAAGGTGTTCAGAATTACCTGAAAATTAGATGGGTGGGTTAAACTGGGATTGTACTAATGTCTGCAGGACATTGGCCTTCCAGGACTGGAGTTGAAGAGCCCTGCTCTATTCCGCCTATATCGTCAGCATTTTAAGATTAGGCATGTTTTAAAATTGATCACTTGTGAGTGATGATTCTGTGATGATCATTATGCTTGCTTAGAAGCCAGCTGTCTATCTAAGAAGAGAAGCTATTTGCTAGGTTTAGAAATAAAGCTATTGTGTTAAATTCAATGTCTGTAATAATAATAATATGTTTTAAAAAAAGAGATTATGCAAACTGACTGAAATATTAGCCTGTAGAGGGCAGCAGTGAACTGTGAAGCAGATATCAATAAACCAATTACCTCTGCAGAACTAATGGCTATGAAACATTAAACCCTTTTCCTACACAGGAACACTCCTCCCTTAAGATCTGATGTTAAGCTTTTGACAAACAGCATTTGTTGTATTATGACAAAAACTCATTTACCTTAGCTCAGCATAGATATTATTGATTTCTCCATGAATTTAGCTGGATAAACACATTGTAAAAACAGATCATTCTGAAGCATCTTATTGAAAATCACTGCATCATTTAAAAAATGTACATAGGTTATGTCAGTCTTATAAATGTCTAAGATTGTTAAAGACATGCATTTAGCAGCCAAACAGGGTGGGGCTGAGACAGACACCTTGGAGAGAGACTCCACACACTCATAAGAAGGGGGAATGAAGGGCAGACACACAGATCCTATCTCCCATTACACTGCTAATGGATGTGAAGGTTGTGGGAATAGCAATGTCCCTCTTTATTGACCTTCAGCTTTGCAACAGCCTAAACAATGGCAAGCGAGGGAAGATTTTTCTCTCTTTCTTACTTTCTTGCTTTCTCTCGGGTTAAATTTATCATACTTCACTGCATGACAAAAAAGTAAACAATTGTAACTACAAAATAAATAAATAAAATAATAAAATAAAAACCAGTATAGTATACAGTAGTATATAGAGTAAAATTATAGAATCACAAATTTAACAAAAGATTAAGCACATTTCCCCAAGAAAACGAAAATTGAATCTAATTAATCAGAAAAATGCAAAATCAGTGCAAATTTAAATTAGTGCAAAACAAATAAAATTAAAGCACAATAGACAAAATGGCATATAAAAGTAGCATTAACAAATAAAACAAAGTAAAGCAAAGCAAAGCAAAGCAAAGCAAGGCAAAGCAAAGCAAAACAAAACAAATGTACAGCAAAACTTTGTGTTTTGTTCATTTAATGTCAGATTCTCATATTAAAGTCATCCGGTACACTTCATTTGAGATAACAAGGGTCTCAGTTCTATGTGATCTCTCTAATTATTAAAATTGACATGCAGAATGAGCTCATTTTGGAGAATGACTCACACTCACTCTATCACTTTCCCTGACCGCTTCATTACCACTTAGCAATGGCCACCCCAGATAATGAGGTCACCATTAAATTCACACACAAACCCAGTTGGACAGCCATAATACATCCACTAAACACACTCCAGCACAGTCATCTGAGGTCAAAGCGACAGCTTCAGTATGAGAGAGTGTTTACAGGTGAAACTGTGATAAGTATACTTCATTCTTCACAATGCTAATATCACATGTGTCACGGTAGAGAGCAACAGATGTCACTCTAATCAGCAATCGGTGGTGTAGTTATCTGTTACGGACATGTAGTTTAATGTAGCAAATTAGCTTAAAAGGGAAATGCATATAAATAATTACAATTAATTATAATTAATTACAATTATTTACATCAGCTGCCAGTAGTAACTGTAGCAGAATTAATATTACCATCAACTAATCTGTTTGTCCAGCGAACATTCAGTGTAATTTCATATCAACTCTGAAAAATATTTTTATATTTTTATTTTCGTGGCCATAGAAAATAACTTTCTACAGTACTAATGCATTAGAGCATGTAACAAGATTAGGAATCGTTAAAGGAACATTATCCACAAGCAGTGACAGAATCAGAAACTCATGTAACTTTCACACAAAATTTTCATTAACTAAACACTAACACAAACTAGTCTAACAAACATACACACACATACACACACATACTCACACATACATACACAGGGGAGTTAAAGTTGATTAATTAAACCGTTAGAGAAACCAGAGAATGCAGTTATAGAAAATGAGTCAGTTAACCACCTGAGCAGAAACCATCAGCACTATAAGGGGGTATTTTCGTTTCGTTGGGTTTCGTTTAGTTAAATGTACGATACTTGCATTGCCTTGGCCGTTGAACGAGTGTCCGGATGCAGTCTCAGATGAAAGTCTTGATGGTTTGAAGGTTTGGTGGTGTTGGAATTGCGATCACGTTGATAAACTCCAAAGATGTTACTCTGACTCTGTGGTGATTGGGAGAGTTCTCTCCCAAGTGAAAAGTGGCAACATGGCTTGCTGCAGCTTTGATGTCCTGCAGGCACGGGAGAGGCCCCGCGGGTCACGGTCGGACTGGAATGTATGAGAGGCAAGGAGGTAAGCACACCGAAGAAGAGAGAAGAGAGAGGTGGGTCACTGATGTGAGGCCTTTTAACTTCTATGGAGGTCACACCTCCAGGCGGTCAGTGAGCCAATGGTGACAAACTATTGGGAAAGTTTACAACTCTGTTATTTTGCATACGTAACTGGATTGGGTGCTGATGCAAAAACTATTAAAGATTCTTAGAAAACTAATATGTTGCATAGGTATCAACATGTAATATATACACTCTCATTTAGATCATCAAAATATGAATTCATAGATACCAAATATGGTATAGGTGAGGTTACATTAACTAGCATGCATAAAACAGTATACAATACAAAAGACAATATACAAGGAAGTAATAATCATAGACACAATGTTCTGGAGATGTTCATTCATAGAAGGTTTTCTATGAATAAAAAGAGAAGAGTCCATTTTTATGTGCATTATTTGTCTTTCATATGGGGAAATGGAGTGAGAGTTCCGCATTCCTTTGAAGAATAAAACCAGTGTTTTCAGATTATTTGTCATTGTTTGTCATGGTAACCAGAGGCCTGATCTGCCTTTTTGGGGTGTTAGTTGCTCTTCAGGGGTTGTCCACAGAACTCTAACACATAGTTTGATTTTTTGGGTAAGGGGGTTTGCTGGATTATTCATTAAATATATAATGAATAATTGTGTGTCTGATTGGTCCAAACGCTCCATATATCCTCCCTTTCAAACATTGTTGTCAATCCAATAGACAACAGTGAGCGACGTCACAGAACAATCAGACACGCATCTGCTCCTCAAGGCTGGGAGACAGAGGTGGCAGGAGGGCAGCAGGTGGTCTGCTCAAACATCACCAGAAGTCTGACGTTTGCGGTGTCGCTTTGCTCTTGTGGTGGCACTGACTTGAGCTTGCCTGAGTGGTGTCAGAGGAGCTTTTGCTGTTGGGCACGGGGACTCGTTACTCTATCCAACGTTGTCCTGGGTTGTCCATCGGTTTACGGGACGTTCCTCCCTTGGAGGGGTCTGATGCGGTGTTATGTTGGGCAAGGAGTCAGAAGTTTTGTCCTTCCCAGTACTCCTCGGTTGAGTTCTGTTCAAGGACCTCTATTGCTAGCATCATCAGCTCCTGTAGCTCAGAAGTAGGTGTGTCCAGCTGTTCTTGTGCAGCCTATGTTTGGCACCTGTGTTAAGGGTGTGGAGGAGGATGTTGTTGTAGACGGCTGTTGGACACCCTGTGATGTTTTCAGCGTGAGAATGCCCAGGTCTGGAACCTGGGTCTGTTGCCATGGTGACCGTTCTATCCTCTGCTGGCTAGGGGCTTTCTGTAGAAGGGTCTTGCATTGTGGCAATGCTGGGTGCCTTTTGGTGCCCGCTTTGGATTCTGGGTTGTGCAGTGAAGAATCAGTGGGAACTTACAAACACCTTTAGTCGAGGCCTTGTGCTTGTTAAAGGCCATCTGTGTCAGGTCATGCAGTTGTTGAATAGGCATTGTGCGGGGACAGGCCTTAATGCCTAAATGGTGACTTACAATGGGGTGGAGGTTTCGGAGGAAAAGGCTCTTGAAGCTGGTGTCCTTGTACATCCCAGGTTCATTGCAAGCTCTGAAGAAAGCTTGTCGAAGTCTGTGGTAATAAGCATTGAGAGTTTTATGCCGGCCCTGTTTGGTGGCTAGGGCAGCGATCAGAGTTTCAGAATCTGGGTCTGAGAATTCTTTTATGATGGCTTGTTTTAGATATCGATTGGATGTGTTTTGGCTGTTGAGCCAGAAAGTGTCGCACCTCTGGGCTGGAGGTGATCCAGAGCAGATAGAGTCTATCTTGGTGGTTCACACTTGCCCAAGACTGCAGGTGGAAGTCAATGTCTCGCAGGTAGGTGTGGACATCGTGGACTCCTGTAAGATCTGGTGTAAATGTTGGGATGTTTCTGGCCATTTGGTTGAGGTCTTTGAGTGTCACTTCAGGTGTCATTTCAGAGTTTGTCTGAATTGATCATTTTCCTTCTGTGGCTGCAGAGGTTGTCAGGAAACTGACTGATGTATCAGTCAGAAGGCTTTGGCTCCCCCCTTTGTATCTGTGTACATATGAAGAGTCCATTTTTATGGCCATTATGTGTCTTTCCTGTGGGGAAATGGAGTGAGAGTTGCACTGCCCGCATTCCTTTGAGCAATAAAATGTCTCCAGTCACCTAACATCTACTGAAGCCTTATGAAATCTTGCGGGCGAATGGAGTTCAAGTGCGTGAAATAGAGACACTATAAGGCGGTGCTGAACGCCATTGCCTCAGAATCTTTGGACTGAAGCAGAGTGCAGCTGACAAAGACTCTGAGCTATGTAACACGGCAACATACGCAGTGTCTTGTTTCCGCTTCTCAGGGAACCGAGGTTACGCTAGGTAACCGGAGACATTCCCCCAAGAGTCGGTCTCTCGACACTGCGTCATCAAAGATGTCGCTTTGGGGATCTCATAGCGAAGGTCCAGATCGGCTGCAAGAAAAGCCGTTGACCTCAGCTAAAAGTACTTCACACAAAGGAAGACCTCATAAGCTCAGCGGCATAGCAGCTATACGAGCAAGTTGCACAAGCATTAGATTACTGCAAACACATCGCAGAGTAAAGGACAGCGACCTGCATCCTGGATTAACTATACACTCACTGCCAGCATTCATGTCGGCGCTTGTCTCCAGACTGTATTAACAGCAGCCATTCAGCACCGCAGACACATGGATAGGCAACGACACTATCACCTAGCAATGTTTACCCCAGGATGTGTGATCACCACACCATCACAGTGTGCTGGTGGCCAAATAATGCATGAGACAGCAACACAGACACTACTGCATAATGTTGCAACCGATGGCAAGCCTGACCGTGCTGTGCGGCTAATGGTGGTGGTCATGCCAACACCTAGTACTGATGTCTGCTGCAGCAACGAAGCCGGTGCTGTCATGAACATAATGGATGCAAGGTTAACACTGTGCAGATAAACACGAAGGCAGCAGTAGCACTGGTTACACAACTTAGTCTAACACTGCCAACTCGGTGGGGCTGCAACAGTTTAAGACGAATGCTGAACATTGATTTCAGCTACCTTGATTCCTGCATGGACAATGCATGCGTTGCAAGGAAAATTCAGGCTATAATAACACGTATAGGCTATAGCAACATGCATAGGTGTCTACCTGGCATAAGTTTTTCAGCAAAGGTTACTACCTGTGTGGGAGAAACCAACAAAACGATGATGGATTCCTGTCTGTGCTTTTACACCGTGAATGTGTACAACAGCAATGTGCATAGATATAGCCCACGAGGGCGACCATTCACACAGAAAGGCAGCAGTGTCTGTGCCTGTAACAACAGACTGTGAATGGCTACAAGACCAAGTTGAACACAACTTCGCATGGGCGTCAACAACTGCCATAATAGTCCACATGACTTATCTGACACTACCTACAATCTCAGTTCAAGTTGTAGACATAATCCTCTTGCAAAGGCAAACTCGTGATGTGAGTGAGGAAACATTCAAGTCACAGAACTGACCAGAGTGCCAAGCACGAGTTGATCATGGAGACGGGCGAGATGTGATCAGCCTTCTTGTGCCACATGAAGTGATGTTTTATGAACTAATTTCGGGAGGAGCATGTGCAGATAATCACCCCGGCCAATCCACTATCAGTAATCACATCATCTATCCAACCACCATGAGAGAGAACCACTCCTCACCATTGACCCATTCCTACGGGGGGAGTGCTCTGCGTTAGGGCAGATACAGAGCTCGGAGCCCTCTCCCTGGACAGTGGGGGGAGTGCCCTGGGTTCGGGAAGAATTACCAAGCTCGGAGCCTTCTTCTCGGACAGCACGCCAAATACGCATACTATTCTTCTCGCTTTATTATCTGCAAGGCGAACTCATGAAGTGATGTTTCATTAACAAATTTAGGGAGGAGCACGCGCAGATAATCAACCCGGTCAATCCACTATCAGTAATCACATCATCTATCCAACTACCACGAGAGAGAACCACTGTAAATAATCATAGCAGCCTTACCTTCATTCTCTCTAGTCTTTCAGCATCCCTCCACTACCCCGACTCCTCACCGTCGACCCATTCCTACGGGGGGAGCGCTCTGCATTCGGGCAGATGCCGAGCTCAGAGCCCTCTCCCTGGACAGGGGGAAGTGCCCCGGGTTCGGGAAGAATTATAGAGATCGGAGCCCTTTCCTCGGACAGCACGCCAAATACGCATACTATTCTTCTCGCTTTATTATCTGCAAGGCGAACTCGTGAAATTCTTATTGACAAGACATTCTGCCGGGCGACTATAAATATTGTGTTATGCTGTTATATAAAAAAAAAGAGGGCATTCAGTTGCTTGCCAAGGCGACTAACAGGATATCTGACCATAAAGTAGATATATTCAGGTCCACTGATATAATCCAGTCCCCTGGCCTGTGCGAGGGTCTGTCTCAATGCGCTCACTTGAATAGACATGCATTAGTTCAAGTCCAAGATGACACCAGACTCCTTGTGGAGTGGAGACAAATCTCTATCGGGCAGTCGACTCTATGAAGTAGAGGTCTGCGCAGGACTGTTTTTTTAGTCCCACTCCCGCAAGGTGTGTTTATATCATTTAAGTGCCGGGCATTTTGTCTTCTGTACACGATAGACCGCTGCACTGAGACAAGGAGCTGTTTATATCGTGTGAATGAGGAGCTTAAGTGATTTGTGCTTTGTACATGGCAGATCGCAGCTCTAGACGGGGGCTGCACATGTAGAGATCAAGGACCATGCAGGACCTGTGCCAACATGAGAACCCTTGTTGCAGTCTCCGCGCTCGGCTTGCAGCTCTACCGCGGGGGTAGATGGGCTGTGTAAGAGGAATGCGGACGCTTAGTCCGGAGTCCATAAGTTCCACCGCTGTTATTGAGGGCAGATGGACTCGTGCAGCCCTGCTTTAAGAGTGGGCATCGCCCAGGCAGAAACACAGCGGTCCGGAAGGCATCTGAAAGAAATGTCATACTTACCAGAATGCTGCAGGGGAACGGCAATCCAGGCACCAACTCCAGTATGTGCATATATCAACGGTGAGCTGTAGATGGCTTCTTGTAGCTGAAGGAGAAAATTCTGAGACAATGGCATTCAGCGCTGCCTTATAGTGTGGGGGAGCCCGCGTCTATTTCGCATGTTTGAACGCCACTGGTGGGCGAATTCTCGCCCGCGAGATTTCATAAGGCTTCAGTAGATTCGAGGAAGGAGGGGATAACCCCAAAGCGACATCTACGATGACACAGAGAGACCGACTCGAGAGGGAACCAGTGTTATCAGATGATTTGTTAGTGCTTGCCATGGTAACCAGAGGCCTGTTCGGCCTTTTTGGGGTGTTAGTTGCTCTTCGGGGGTTGTCCACAGAATTCTAACACATAGTTTACTTTTTTGGGTGAGGGGGTTTCCTGGATTATTCATTAAATATAATTAATAATTGTATGTCTGATTGGTCCAAACGCTGCATTAATGTGAATGAATCATCTGCTGTTACTCCAGTCAACAGAACGTGTTGGGTTTAAGTTGGAACAGAAATAATCTCTATTATTATGTGATAGCTGGATTAAGAGTGATTCTTGATCTTTGAAGTGAGAGGAATATGTTATCCTCATTTGCTAAGTCTCTTATGTCATTTTGAATGTCATTCCACATAAAAACAAGTGTTTTGATGCATGGCAGTGGTGTTGGTCTGAAATATCATGGCTATTGTTAGGAACATGAGCGTTGGGATGTAGTCAGCAGGTTGCAGATGATGCATTAGCCTTTTGCATTAGTACTGTATTAGCCTAGTCATTCATAATCTCATTTCCTGTGCTAGACACGTCTCTGGCTCACATCAGCCACATGCGCAAACACAAACAACAGCCTGTCCAATCATACAGACACTAAACAAATGTGAAACTAATTCATTATAAAGTAATACTGCACAGCTCTCTGGAATAATTTATTCTGATTGGTAAACTGTTACCAAATCAAAATTCTGACTGGTTAGATTCTGCAGAAATCTAATCTGCAAATTAATCATCATAATATAAAAATAAATATTGTGAGATTGTTGCAGTGTTTGTTATGGTGTTTTCTTTCTGTTATAATGGTCTATTTTTCTATTTAACATGTTTTGACTATTTTTTGCTATTTTTCTTAGAAGTGAGACAATACAATAATTTCAACTCCAAAATCAATATTTCAAGTATGTATTTGTTGTAGTTATGTAATAAACAGGATAATGTATAGTCAGCTGGTCTTTATCATGTAAAGAACTTTGAAAGCCTCGAAACCTTCAATGTTTTGCCTGGAAACTGCATGTCTGTGGGAACTGTGTTGAGCATTCAGATGCCTAAATGTTTTATCAGTGCATTGTGTGTTTGTGCGGAGACTGAAAAGCCAACATATATTAAACGGAGTGAAAGAGAAAAGGAGAGAGAGGGAAATGGCAGTCCCTGTGGGCAGCAGGGGGTCTTATGTGTGTGTGCTTGCTGGGTGGGTCGCTGGTTGCCAGGTTACATGGCACGACCGTGGTGGGATATGTGCGAAGAGGGTCACAGTTCTCTTTCTTTGCGGGAAACAAAAAAAAGTCTTATTTACAACCTGCTGCAAAGAGGGAGCAAAACAGCAGCAGATAAATAAAGAGACTGCCAGACAAAACAAGAAACTAAAAATAAATATGAACAGCATTTCTGGATGTTTCCATTTGGCCTTCCTCCTGCTGGTTGCATGTCCATCTGTCTGTGCGTCTACCAGGCTGTCAGAGATTTCTTTTAACAGGTGAACATGTGGTTGACAAGTACTTTGACAGCATTCTAGCAACACCTGATACACACAGCCCCGTTGCATGAACATTTTGTTCTGACCCCATGTGAGTGTGAATGCAGCCACATGTAAAGCGTGTGTGAGAAATCTTACCACCTGGATCAGAGCTCCGCATTGTCAGCTCATATGTCAGGTCTGTGAAACAAAAGAGAGGACAGAAGGAGTGGACAGAACGACAAAGGGAGGAGTGTGAGAGAGAGAGAGAGAGAGAGAGAGATCAAATGTTAGGCTGGCAGCACGGAACATCACACTACCTTAAATGACAACAGTTGAAGATCACATGACACAAGACATCACCTGAAACAGGAGGAGATCAAGAGAGTGAGAGCAAAAACAGAGAAACAGTAACACAACAGAGAGTCAACCAAGGATAAAAGAACATGTGGGAGTCAGTGGGACTATACAAACAACATGAAACTTCAAATTCTGTAGTTTACTGAATACTGAGTTTTGTTTTGTTTTTCTTGTTTTTCTTTGCTGTTTGGCTGTGATGTTTTGCTGTACTGTTTTGTTTTGTGTTTTTTGCTTTGATTTGTGCAATAATGAATCACATACAATAGCACCACGATTTCATGCTAACTTAAAAAAAAAAAGACCATGGAGATTGGAGTGAAGCAGCGTTAGATGAGAATCGAGCCATCTAGAATGAGATTAACTGTATTCTCTCAATCCTGAACCATAATCCCTGTGGCACCATTTTACTCTATTAGTGTGGAGAAGTGACCTGGTGATAGGACTGCATAAGCTATACGTGCTGTACGTCTTCGAGAAAGTGCCAGAGATTTGTGTTCGTTTTTGGTCTAGACGTTTAAAATGATGCCACCTTAAGATGTCAACATCATTAAACTAATAGCAGAGATGCCTGTCATGTAATGCACAGGATTTGGCACATTTCATGAGGGCACTTGTGTGGGCGAGTTCAAATCCGGCTTGAGTCAAATCCCAATCCCATCCTCCCCTGTCCATCCTCTCATTTTCAGTCAATTGTTAATTGTCTGAATAAAAGGTGGCAAAAATCAAAAGTAAAATAAAATAAAATACAATACTAGATTAACTAATAAAACAATAATGAATCCACTGTAAACTGGCAATAATTTATCTTTAATTTATTTGAGCCATTAAATAAACGGAGTGTCTATTTACACTAAGTGCAAATAGCCCGCCTTGTTGGCAGAGGCTATTTACACTAGCTCTACCCACAAACATGTGATAGGGCTAGTCAACACTATAAAAGATGGCTGACAATTGTTAGCTCCAGTCGCGTAGATGGTACAGTGCGTACCATAGTCTTTTTTGATGCGATCGACCCGGGTTCGAATCTGCCTTTTGCCAAACTTTTTTTTCTCCCTTTTAAAATCTCATATCACATCAGAAAGGCATTTATTTTCAATAAAAATGAAGGAAATAATCAAAAAGTTGAAAGTAAAGTATCGGGTAGGGTTAGGGTAGGTGTAGGGAGGGCTTGTCCCAATAAGGTGGCATCCATTTAATAATTTGAATTAAAATTATAATTTACACTCAATATGTTATTATTGCATACTGTTTTATAATGTACTGTACTATAAAACTGAGGTGCAGATAATTGCCACTATTTGCAATACGTAGTCTAAATAGCAGAAAATCCTGCTATTTTAACATAGAATCTATGGCTATTTGCACTTCGTGTAAATAGCATCCATCACTATTTGCACTTACTGTAAATAGCATCTATCGCTAAGAAAATATGCTATTTACACTTAGTGCAAATAGCCGCTGCCTTAAATAAAAGAGACACTCCATTTTGAATGATTATAGTGCTTCATTTACTGTAGACAGTTTACAAATGAATAATGTATGTGTTTATGGATGCTTGCTAGTGCAGTTTTGCTGTAAGTGGCAGTCACTACATTATGCTCAGTGTATTGGCGTGTGTGTGTGTACCTGTGCAGTGCTGTTGTAGGCAGCGGATCTCAGCATGTAGGCCTTTCAATGTGTTGGCATGGTCTTGTTGCAGGTACAGCAGGTTCTTCTGTGCGCTGTGCAGTTGATTCTCCAAGGTAACACTCACCGAGGCCATGTTGATGATGATACACGGTCACACACTCACATGTATAAATAAACTCACTCGCTCACTCACACCTGCACATACACTAGCCCAGGAGACCTGTAAACACAAGAAAAGAAAATACTGATCACATACACAGAATATTTAGCCTTTTGACAGTTATCATTCAATTACATTTAAAAAAGCCCATACTAAAAGTTATATTAGCCAATTAGACACCTAGCTCCATTATTTCAAAGACATGCTACAAAGACACTAATTATACATGTGCAATATTGACAAGCTAATAACTATTTATTAATTGTCATTTATTATTTTTCATGTTATGGCCAATACAGTGTAAAAATTATTTTTCAATGTTGTAAATAAAACAAAGGTTACTGGAGTATATTTTACAAGAAAATACTATTTCAGTCTTTCTACTAAAACATTTCTTGTTTAAATCAATTATTTGTGAAATTTACAAGCAATTTCTGAATGAAAATTGTTTCTGCATTAGCCTAAATTTTGTTCAGTGTAGCTTGTAAGCCTCAAAGTCTTCTTAGCTAATAAAAGACTATGACTGTGGTCTGCAGTCACATTTTTGCAGTTTACGGAGTCAGGGCTGCCACAGACACAAGTGTGATATTTCAGAACATCTAATTCAGATCTGTCAGGTACTGTATTAGGGACATTTTCTGAGTGACATTCCATTAAAAAATATCACTTATAACATCTTTAATTAAACCTCTTCTGAGACATCAACATCAGTATACCTGCTACTCTGCAAGTCCCAGAGTACATGACACAACACATCTTTAAACTAATTCAACGTAACACCAAAATCACTCTTCCTACAGGCACGTGAGGTCACAATTCACCAGCAGCGAAATATAGATGTGACTGTTTGTGTAATCAGGACAAGCTTCTTTAAAACTGCACATGTGAGAAGTTTACAATAGAGCCACAGCCATATACTGAGGTCAGGAGACTGTCATACAGTACTCACACAAACACATTACTGCAATCAAATTGTTTACTCCGGTTATCACTATCCCTTCCCCGAATCATCGTCCCTTTGTCTGAGAGGACAAAGAGCTATATTTATCTAATGACAGCATAATGGTTTGACATTACGTAATGCCTTTCAGATGAGGCAGAAGCAAGGGAGAATCTGTAGATACTGTTTGTGGGAGTATTGATTTAAGGGGGTGAACGCAAGAGAGAGGCTGGTTTCCACAGACCCTGCACTGCTCAGGGATCATCTCCCATCTCAAAGTGCTCTTAAAGAGGTCATATCATACATATTTCATCATTTTATTTTTTCCCTTGACGTTTTTTGATCCACTTAAAATTTAAGTAGAGCTGGGTGATATATTGAATATTCATATCGCAATGATCTGGTGAATGAAATTAAGCAATGTTGAAATTGTCAGTGATATAGTGTGCTTTTTATCTAGCCATTAATTTTCTGTGATTAGTCTTCAATCCTTTCTTGTGTTGAAATGTTTTAATAGCATCATTTAAAATAAAAACAGTGTTTGAGTAAGTTTGATTAATTTCCATGAATTAGTTCAAACTATTTATTTTAATGAATCAATTCAGTACTGATTCTGCCTCAATAATGTATTTGTCATTACTTTAACGTGTTCATAGGAATCTCTATAAGGCATTTTTTATATATTAAAATATACAATTATTAATATAAAAATATACAGTATGCACACTACTCTGTTTAAAAGTTTTGGGGTCAGTTGGATTTTTTTACTTTTTTTTGGAAAGAAATTAATAGCCTACTTTTATTCAAAAGTGACAAAGACTTTTACAGTGTTACAAAACATTTATCTTCAAATAAATGCTGTTATATTGAACTTTATTTAATCAAAGAATCCTGAAAAATGTATCACGGTTTCCACAAAAACATTAAGCAGCAAAAATCGTTTTCAACATTGATAATAAGTTTCCTGAGCAGTAAATCATCATATTAGAATCATTTCTGAAGAATTATGTGATACTACTAAAGACTGGAGTAACGGCTGCTAAAAATTCAGTTTTACCATCACAGAAATAAATGACATTTTTCAAATATTAAAAGTTATTTTAAACTGTAATAATATTTCACAATTTCACTCTTTTTATCGTAGTTTTTATAGGTAACATATTTGTTAACTAGGGATGTGCGGGTCTAGTCGACTGAACGGTACAGCACCTACTAGTCGACACTGAAAACAATAGTCGATTGCACGACAGAAAAAAAAAACCCCAAAACAAGATTTTATCATTCAAATTACCGTCATTTTAACATTGCATTTAAAACAAATAACGCATGGTCTGAGTAAGTAAAATGGGTATTGTTGCGTTGTTTTGTTTTTAGACGATATAGCCTATACGAAGTACGTTTTTAAAAGCCGTTTTAATGCTATTTCTTGATAAACATTAGTTTACTACATTCGTTAACATAAACTAACAATGAAAAATACTTCTGAAGCATTTATTAATCTTAGTTCATTTTGATTCCAACATTTACTAATTAATTTATTAATAAAATCTAAATTTGTATCTATTAATGTTATCTAATGGACCTGAGCTAACATGGACTAAAAATTAACGGTTTTGTGTTTTTATTAATTAATGTTAATAAAGATTAATAATTACTGTAACAATGTATTGCTCATTGTATTGCACTTAATGTTAGTTAATGCATTAAATACAGTTAAAAATCAAGGAAAATTCAATTTCTCATTATATGTCCCCTTTAAAAACTCTTTGGCCTGGCCTAATATATCACAATCCAGTTTGTACTTCCTACAAATAAACTCACTTATGGGCTAATGTTTTAATCTAACACCATGTTTAATATTTCTGCTTCTACCAGAAGATAAAAGAAAGTGTCCCCTTCATGACTTCTTAAGAAAGGCTTTGATTTAGGGTCCTCATAAAGCCCTGTGTAGTTTAAATTATTAACAGAGATCTTTCTGCCTTCATCGTTTTAAGGAAGACACTCTCCTCTGCATGTACTTCCTCCTATCATAATGCAACACAATAAAACTGGCAAATCCAGCCATTCAGAGGAAGAAGGAGAAACACAAGAGATAAGAGAATGCCTCCCGGGTGTGTTGAGGGACCGCATTGCTAATCATATTTCACATTCATTCTGCTATATGATGAAAATGAGCTACCTGCTCTCATGCAGAAAAACGTGACACTACAAAATGTGAAAAATTTTACTGCGGGAACAAACTGCTGCAGTTCCCAAGAAATGAACACCAGTGATGCAGAAGTGCTACAACTTTATTTATCGATTAATATTGACTTGAATTGTGAAAGTCTGAATTTTGGGTTACAAAACTGTATTTAGTATCTAGGTATGGGTAGGATTATGGTCAGGGTTAGTGATAGTGAAAAAATGCATTCCTATTGTTTGTGTTGGTGGATTTATAAATCAATAGAACACTATTTAGACTTTATAGGAGAAAATCAATCACTTTTAGCTCCACTCGGTGGACATTTCATCTGGACACTGCAGTGATTTATACCGCAGCTGATTTCAGGTTTGCAAAAACATGCATGGTCACGTTTTTCTCATGAGATCAAGCTGAAAACGAGAAAACATAGCAGCCAAAAATGGTATGGTCAGAGAGCTGTTGGTGTGGTCAAAAGACAGGAGCAGATGCCTTAAACACACTCTCATTCTGACAGACTAACCACAGCCCTCCACAAGACAGACACAACAAAAGGAAAGAAGACTGTCAGTAGACTCTGCCCCCGCCCTTTTATTAATTCACTTGCTGTCTCCCTTCCTCATGTGTCCTCTCTCTTTTTCTTGCCCTCTCTATTTCTCCTCATTCATACAGTATATCATGCAATAAAGATGCAAATGTGAAGATTCTGCTTTCTGTAGAACAAAGAAACGCACTACCAACAAACAGGTTTGGGCAAAATTTAGAATTTAGAACAGACCCACTTTCAATTAAGAGTCACAAACACAGCCTACAGGAAGTTGAATCAGAATTACACGAAAAAGGAATCAACTGATTAGCAATTCAAAGATATTCAACACAGTCGCATAACAGGGGAATCTAATTTGTCCTACACCGGTTTTGCCACAAACTATAATTATGAATAATTGTAAATAATCATTAATGATGTTGTAATTATTGACATAAGCTGGCTTTATGTTGTTTGCATCCATTTTAAACAGTGGTGGTCCATGAAATGAAAACTGATTTATTACTATTATTATTCAAAAGTTTGGGGTCAGTTTAGAATTTTTTTTTTTATTACTAATGAGTCTCTTATGCTCACCAAATCTGCATGTATTTGGTCACAAATACAGTATAAACACTATTGTGAAATATTACAATTTAAAATGACTGTTGTATATTTTAATATATTTTAAAATGTAAATTATTCCTGTGATTGCCAAGCTGAATTTACAGCAGCCATTACTCCAGTCTTCAGAAGCATTTCTTACTGCTAGAAATGTTGAAAACCGTGATGCTTAATATTTTTGTGGAAGCTGTAATTCTCCCCCCCCCCCAAAAAAAAAAATTACAGCTTTTTTTTTTTTAAGTATAAATCTTTTGTAACATCAGAAATGTCAATACTGTCAAATCTGATGAATTTAATGCATCCTTGCTGAATAAAAATATAAATTTCTTTCAGGGAAAAAAACTAAATGACCCCAAACTTTTGAACAGTCTATAAAAAAAGAAATACACCTACAACAGTATATTTCTTCTAACTTTATTTGATTACTAATTCTACTTCCTTAAGTGCAAATTCTGATTCCTGTTTGCTACCTCAATGCAAATTCATATTAGTGCACAATCCTGACACAAACACAATAAAACCCCAAATGGCTTATCTACACACATCCTGAATCATTTTTTTTTCAACCATGTTATAGCTGGACACCTACACAATCCACTTATAACATCAGTTGGGTGTCATTATTAGCGTGTCTGATCTCTCTTTCCCAGCACAACACACACAGATGGTACACACAGTGAGAATGACTTTGCCACGGTCAAACCTGCTGTGC